TTGCCATTTAAAAATACAGTAAGTTCGTTGGGTCAATGTAATTGAGATAGCACGTGTTTATGGATTGAACGAGATTCAAGCTGGGAGAGAGATTTCTGATAAGGGATCAGACCACCACGGTAGATGTGGTTCAAACTAGTCATTAATGGTTGGATTAAAAAGTCTCCTTTCGGTATGTGTTGTGAACACTTTCATTTTTAGCCTCTCATCTTCTCTAGAGAAGCAAAACTACGTTGCACCTTATAACAAAAATAACTGGACCGACCAAACTATATAAAAAATATTATTTTTTTATATTTTATATAATATTATTTTTTCAATAAAAAATAAATAAAATGTTAGATAAAAAGTTAAGTGTTGCACCTTTATATATATCAATACATTGCACTTTATACAGCAAATCGTTGCACCTTATAACACATGATGTTGCATCGTATAAAACAACACGTTGCACATACCAAAAAATATGATAATTATAAAAAGAATTTGTTCGATTAATATTTTTTTCCATTTAAAAAATACGATAAATATGTTGCACCTTATAACGAAAAATAACCGGATCGATCAAACTATATAAAAAATATTATTTTTTTACATTTTATAAAAAATAATATTTTTTCAATAATAAATAAATAGATTCGAAATTTATATTTTTGATTCAATTATAGTTTATTTTTGTTTTTTTAATAATGCTTGGAATTGATTTTAATCAATTAGTAGTAATAATGCTTGGAATTGATGTGCAATTAATAGGGCCGACATTAATTAACACATAAATTCAATTGGACAATATTATGAAATTCTGAAATTGCTATTAAGTCCCTAAGATCACCCACAATGCTTTGGGTCTCTTTAAAAAAAATCACATGTCATGTAGGAAATAGACCTAGCCTATAAAAAAATATTTCACAACGCAATTAATAGTGGACCTAATCTAGCCCATGTGGCAATAAAAAAAATACAAAGTCCACTCTTGGGTCTATTTTGAACCCAAGTGTGAATCTTACAATAGCAATCATTTACTATTATTATATTTTTATTGGTTGTTAGGTTTAGACCTAGTACTTTTTTTTGTATTGGAGAAATTTTGGACATTTTAGCTTGAGTTTGTCCATGTCATTATAGACTTAAGTTCATTTATTTGCCACATGCAAAAAGAGACCCAAAGCATTGTGGGTGCTCTAAGGAATGTCAAATTTTCAAAATCAAGTCCAAAAACAAATTCTATCTTCTAATTCTACAGCAACCCGTTTCAACTCCCAAACTCGTTCATCTTCAGCCGCGCCGCCACCGTCCTCGTCACCAAACGCCGCTGCCGCCATCCTCGTCACCAAACGCCGCCTCGCCGGCCAATGGATACCAACGACGTCCTCAGTCCAGGCAATCGAAAAAAAGAAAAAAAAAATACAAAACAACAATTCTCCTCTGCACGCCATCGCCGCCAGCCCTTCCGAAATCGCATCGCCGATGAGAACAACAACAGACAACATCAGCGGCCGTTCTTGCCGCGACAACGACCACAATGGGTCTGGTTGATCGCCGGCACCTTCCCCATCTCCACCGGCTGTTCTCGGCGGCGGCGGGGTACTCGTGGCTGCTGTGGCAAAATTAATGGCTAGGTGTTCGATCTAATTCCGGCGTCGGCGGAGGGTATGGCGGCAGCTGCGACGGGCGACTGGACAGGGGCTTTTTCCGACGGAGCCTGCTTGGCCGAATTCGTCTCCGGCGATGGGCTGCGGAGGCGCGGCGGCGGGTTGTAGGAGCACGGCGGCAGAACTCCGCCGCTGAGGAAACCAGGGTCAGTTTCTGCGCGTGTGTGTATGAGATAGAGGGAGAGAGAGAGAGATGACGGGATAGAGATAGATGAGAGATAAATCTGATTTTATGATATACATGTGAGCCCCACTGATTTTGGTGTATGGTGATTTACGTAAAAACCGCTTGATGTAGATACCCTTTAATTATGTCCATTGATCGTACCGATCCAATGGTTTATATTCATTCTAATTTCTTTTACTATCTACCATTCTCATATGATCTCTTCTCTACATATATAATATGTATATATATATATATATATTATTGCTCGTTGATAATTTTTTTTTTCTCAAAACGACAAATATGATTATAAAAACTCGAAATAAGTACAATCGGTAACCAAATGGTTACAACAACGTAGGAGTCACTAGACATAGCTCACCCAACTTCACAAGGAGCTTAACCCTTACAAGAAACTTCAAAACTAGCAAACTCCACAAGGGAGATTAACAAAACAAAACATAAGAAAACTCCATAAAGGAAGACTAACAAAACAAAACACAACACAACAAAACACACTAAAACAACACACACCTACGAATACAATAAAACCTCTCTTACTCTTCTCGAACCCACACACAGCAACCGCCACACTACCCAGAACACACTAAAAGAGAAACAAACCTAAAGCTCCAAGTTTGTAGATCTCAAAATAAAACTCAAGCAGCTAGACAGATCTGACAAGGAATCGAATTCTGACACAAATTTTGAACTCCCAAAAGCTATAAGCCAAAAGAAAGAGCTGACAACAGGGAAGCCCACTCAACAAACCACGTCAGACAAGCTGCAGACTCCAGTCTCGGCCAACCCCAAAAAAGGGAGGACGGCACGAGGAAGTCTGCCTCCATCGACCACCAGACAGCAGCCAGAGAAAGGGTAGCTGCCGTCAAGCCCAACCTATGGCTGGATGAGTGCACCAACACTAGCAGCGAGAAGGGGGCACAGGATCTGCTTAATCTTCTGCGAGAAGGAGAGGGAGAGTTTTTTTGGATGAGAGAAGAGGGAGAGTTTTTTTTTATTATATCAATCCCCTATCACTCCGCTCGTGGATAAATTGGAGATCGATTATTTTGAATAACAAAAATTAAGTGGAAAAATGGGTAAATAAAAGGATTAAAATTATGAATGAATATCAAATAAAATTTAACGAATAAATTTATACAACAAAAATCACAAAATGGTGAATATAAATGATAAATAGCTAAAAATATAAGCAAATGAATAATAAATTTATAATAAAATCTATTAATAATTGATTTTCATTTTTGATGAAATTGGAAAAGTATAAGTAAATAAAGATTGAACTTATAAGCAAATATATCCAATCGTAGGTCGAAGGAAATAAATTATACACCAAGACAACTAAAAAAATTATATCCACCAAGATCTTCACTAGCAGTTCTTTGTAACCAAGGCAAGATACTAGAGAACTATTTAATTAAACAACGCAGCAACCCTAGGAAACACACAGCCAAAACCAACAAAGCGTTATTCAGGTCACCAAAAACATGATATTAGGCAACACAAAAGCTTGAACTCCAACTTCACAATACAATCTTTGCCAACAAAGTAAAAGCAACCTGGCACAAGGCTTTTTCCAGCAGGGACCGATAACTGCACGACCTACTGGCCACAAAGCAGAAAAAACTCCCGCCCACATATTAGCTGATCTTATTGCCCTCTTTACCTTAACCCCATAAGCTTTACTCACAGAATTTATTCAGCTTTCTTACAAAGAAAAGCACACGATATACTACAACAAGACCGTTACTGAGGCTTGCATTGTTTAAAAAATAGTCATTTCTAACCTCCTCAAGGGTGTTTTGTAATGTAGAAACAAATGTCCAAGTTTGAAAGAGAATTGGGTTTTTTGGTAAATAGCATGAGCCTCAATACTTTTTTTAATCAATCTAAGCAAATAAAAAAAAAGACTATTCACATAGCATCCTCATTTGGGGATAATTAAACTAGACACACAGGAACCTTGGAGAAATGAGTATAGCTAATAAAGAAAAAGAAGCTCTTTCCCTGCTGAAAATCAGGCAGAACTCATGGAGCCCAAAGTGGGGACATGGTTTTGAAGGAAAAGATCAATGGGAGTGAGTTTTCAATAGGATATTAAGAAAATGTTCAATTTTTAAGAATGATATCAATGTTGAAAAAGAAAAGAACAAAATGGTCTTAATTCGGTCGAAAAATTGACGCTTTTAGTAATCACCTATGATGTATCAAACTCCAAATTGAGAGTGATTAATCTCATTCATTTTTCGGGAAATACTAGCCAAGTGGCATACAATAAGATGGTTAAACACTAAAGTTATCAGGGTTAATGAACTAACATAATGCGAAGGGTTTGCAGCCACAGTGACACCAAAGACTATTCTGCAATAGAAGCATTCTAGAGAGAGAATTGTATAAAGATCAAACTATTAAGTCGGTAATAAGGCCACTGCAGACGAGGTCAGCTGTTGGGAAGATCCAGCAAATGCATTTTGCCTTCAAATTGGGTAAGTCAACACACACAATTATATATATATGAATTTCAAACACAAATAAAACCAAGATTGACAAATAGGTAATAAATAACAGAAATATAATGCAAAGTACAGAAACATAAATGATTAAAGACCTTTCTGGTCTAGGAAAAACACATGCAGGGTTGTTTGTTATCATGGTTGTTAACTCTTGAAAAGGTTTCTACTCAGAAAAAAATCAGAATCCGACTAAGGAAATACTTGGATAAAAGTATTTTATAAAAAGAAATACATGTTTTATATTCTAGCCTTTAAGCAAATGATAACTTTTTGGTACAATGAAGACGTCATTTGCATGAGAGCTCGAACAGCAGAAGGATCACCAGAGTCCAAAACTTAAAAGTTTGTGGCATTTTTTGAACAATCTGCACAGTAAATACATTTGATATGAAATATTAATTTGAAAAGAAAATTAATTCCCACCCGTAAGCAATGAATAAACTCAAAATTAGAGTCATCAAATAAAACTTTAACGGAGAAAAATGTACTCGTTCATATTTTCAAACTAAGCAAGAAGCTTTAGGTTAGGTGTGGAAATAAACTTGTAAAACCATGAAAGCACAAACACATCAACCCAGAAGCATAAATATGCTGAACCAAGTTAATGAAGGCATACAGTGAATACACCATGAAACTTGCAAATTCAATTATAATGAGAAAACATGTAGATGTAGCATAATAGTGGCTTCACTCCATGGTAATGAATGACAACATACAAAATATATGCAATAGCATATATATCTCACCATTGCCCGATACAAAATGCATGTTCCAAATGGTTACTAAGTCATCAAAACACGTTAACAGGTTCATAATAGGTAGGTCAAACTGCAATACACCCAAACTCATTAAAGCAAACCAAACCAGAAGATGGTTAGCAATTGATGGTAATTCTCAGGTCAAAAGGCAAAGTAAACCATATGTATTTCAAAGCTGCACAAGAAGACAAAAAAGATATACTAATGAAAAAATGCAGTATGTGCAAACCAGTACGTGATGGCTTTTTCAACACTAGTATTGTCAAAACAATCTTTCACTTAATAACAAATAGCACCAGTGCCCTGATAAATCTAAATTCTGGACACATCTCAATAACCCAACCAGGCCATTTCAAAATTGAAAAAATAATCCCAATAATGTGATTTTGTTAGTTACTGTCATCAAACCTTTGCAACTTCTCTTTTATATCCCGAGACCAACTTTGACAAAAAACAAGTAAATGCTCAATCTAACCAATCATGGCACACTTAAAATATTTTAGAAAGCATCACACACATGACCAGCTGCTGAAACAACATCATATTAGCCACCATAAAAAAGCACATACCTTTCCAAACTTACCTAGTGACCCGGACCACCCATGTACGGCGCGCCACCTTGATAGGGCCTAACCCCACTTTGTGCCATCTGCGGCTGGCCGCCATAACCTCCCTGCATCCCGGGTTGGCCCACATAGCCCCCACCACCTTGACCACCATAAGCAGCATTATTCATCATGTGTGGCCCTCCCTGCAGATTTCCACCAGCACCAATTCCTCCCAGCAAATTCCCAATACCCAATCCAGCCCCCTGAGTGGCCAACAGAGCTGCCACAGCCTGCCCAATAGCCGCAGGCGCCACCGCAGGATTATAACCCACCTGGCCTGGGTTGGGCGCCATCATGTGACCACCAACGGGCCTCACGCCCTCACTACTTCCAGAAGAGTATCTCCCCTTCTTGGCCGGGTGGCGGTAGTTCCCTTGGTTCCCCTGCTGACGTGGCGGCTGGCTCTGCTGCGGGCTGAAAAAGCCCTTGGAGTGCTTAGGCCCATCCACGGCCTTCTGGCAGTGGAGAGTGTGGCCCTCGAAAGTCTTGTTGGGCTCCTGAAGGGCTTTCTTGGCACTTTCAACTGTCTTATACACGAACAGACAGAACCCTCGCGGTTTCCCAGTCTGCTTGTCCAAGCCCAGTGGACCTTCCTCAATCTCGCCATATGTTGAGAAGAACGCAAGGAGCTTGTTCGGGTCGATCTCAGGGGCCACGTTGCTCACGTATATCTTCCTCCTTGTGTATTCCGATTCGTACGGAGCAGGGACAGAAGCAGCCACTGCAGGGGTTGGAGCACGGACGGGCCCAGCAGAGGCCAGCTGGCACGACGCCATTCGGCCCTCTATCAGTTTCTGTGGCTCCTTCAGAGCCCTCCGGGCCCCCTTGCGGTGCTTGAACAGAATGAAAGCATAGCCCTTGGATTTCCCGGATAACTTGTCCTTGACGACCTTGCAGTCCTCGATTTCACCGTATTTGCTGAACGAGGTTGTGATGGTCTCGTCACTGGCTTCCCAGCCGAGCCCGTGGAGAAAGATCTTGCGGTGGGAGGGGTCGGAGTCGGCCAATTTATGAACGATCTCGACTAGATCGGGGTGATTAGCCACCGCTTCTTTGACCAGGAGAGTCAATTGGTCCTTGGAGAAGGGATCCAGAATCTTCTCAAGCGGCTCCTCCTCGTCGTCCCCCTCGTCCTCGCCGCCGTTTTCTGGGACCGCGGCCTGGGGCGGATTCCCGGCGATTTCGATCTGATGGTCGTTGTTCACGTTGTCGTTCTGAACGGCGTCGTTCGACTGCTCGTCCATGTTGTCCTCGTCTTCTCCCTCCCCACCCACCTCTTCTTCCGGTACATCTTCCTCTCCGCCGTTGCCGACTGCTTCTTCGTCCCCGACGCCTTGGACTTCCTCCAGGACCTGCTGGTTTTCTTCCGGCTCGGGATATTCGGGCTCCTGCTCGGTCTGAACGGGTTCGGGCTCCTGCTCGGTCTGAACGGGTTCGGGCTCCTGAGGAGACGCGGCGGCGGCAGATTTTCGCCTCTTGACCATAATGATTGGAGGAAACAATCAACTGGGCAAGTGTCGTTTTGTATGCAGGAGTGAGGGCTAGGGTTTGAAAGAGGGACAAAGCTCGACAGCAGACAACTAATAAGAGCCCGTTAAAAAAAAA